GGCTTTAGCTCTGAGGCTCGGCTCCAGAGCAGGTATCTGGGTTTGTTTGGCTTCTATAATTGAAACACTGTTGCAACTCCAGCTCTGAGGCCCGGCTGGCTGAAAGCAGGTTTCTGGGGATTGTTTAGCTTCTATAATTGCAAGATTGTGTCTTAGACTGCAGCTCAGAGGCCGGCAGCGGCGGGAACCTTGGCTTCCTCCATCACTGGAGCAAGCAAGCCTCCTGTTCGCTTCAGCTGCCTGGCTGCTGGCCGCCATCTTGGTTGGCAGTTAATTTGCATATCACTCTGAGCCAATGGGACCAATGGGAAGCGTGTTGGAGGTATGGTTAATTACCATGTTTGTCTATTATTAGATAGGAATACTTCGCAAATAAATGAGCATTTCAATTTTAATTATACATTGCTTTACTTTTTGGCAGAGAAGTTTTATATTTTAATTCAGATTTTGAATTTTATATGTAAGTAAAAATATCTGATTTTACTTTTCCTCTAAATGCTTAACCATTTAACTGAGAATTATTAATTGAACCATTCATCATTTCCCTATAATCTTGGTAATCTATTCTTATGCATATAGGACATATATGTATTGACATACAAGGGCCTTGTTTTGGTGGCCTTTATATTTGGCCCATCTTTTCCTGTGTTAGTAACACACTATCATAATTATGTTCGCTTTATAAAACCTTTTGACATAATAGGACCAACTCCATTCTCATTGTACTTAAAGTAATTTTTCTGACTGTTCTAAGTTATTTATTCCAGTATAAGACCCCCTGATGAGGTCCTCCCAGCCTCACTCTTTTTAGAAACTGAGTGTTTGGAGAACTCAAATCCCTCTCATCATATTCCTATCCTCTCAGGGCCAGGCATCCTGGGCTTGCTCAAAGCCCAGGAGCATTTGTACCCTCCCCTTCCTGCCCTGATCCAGCCCTCTGATCACAGAAAGCATTCCCTTGGCCTGAAGTTGTCATCTGACCTATGGCCTTGGCCTGACCCCAACCACTTACATGTGAAATGAAGCATTCAGGGAATTAATAAAAGTGCAGAGAGGCTGGCAGTGGGGTCACTGTGCTATTTCCTCAGGTCAATGGGCCTGGAAATGTCTTGAAAACACTTTAATCAACCATAAAAGAGGCTTACAAATAGGAATTCAGGATTTCATTCACTCAACTCTTTCATTTTTTCACTGTATTCTTGTGAAACAAATATGAAAAGTACCATTTTGCTCAGGTAGGGAGGGCCCTTGTGAATCCCTTGTGAGTCAAGGTTGATTGAGTCGGGCAGCCTGAGAGAGACTATATTGCTCAGGTAACTGAAAGTCAAGTAGGTTAATATTCAAAATTTATGCAGTAAATTTGGGCTAGGTATGCTTCAGTGACAACCTCCAAATCTCACTCAAGGTTCAGGTAGATCCATCCAAGTGATCTTCAAGAGCAACTGTTTTCCCTGCATTTGCTCAGGTTTCGGGAATGCTGGGTTACACAAAGTGTTATAACCAGCAATGCTGCTGTGCCCACCATGGCAGTGGAGAAAAGGGCGTTTCAGACACTGCAACTGCCCTTATCTGCTTCTACCCAGAAGCGACACAGGTCACAGGCCAGCCTTCATAAGGTCTCTTGTATTGAAATATTCACAGACACACAAAAGCAACAACAGTAAAGCCTATGGGAAGACACCTGCTATTGGCCATCAGCGGGCCTAATGGACACGGCGTGGACAATAATAAGAAGTGTCTTGGTCTCTGAGTAGCTTGGTGATTGCACAAAGTCATGACTCTCCTCTATTCTCCTGGTTAAAAGGTTTTACAATCATCCACTCATTTCAAATCTTCCTGTTGAGTGCCTCTATTGTGTGTAGGAACACAGTTCTTCAGCTTATCCCTCATATCAGGGATGTTCAGGGATAATAGCATCTATGAGAGTATGATGAGGTGCCTGGATAGATATTTAGCTTATAAATATGTTGTCCCCTCTAGTAGATACCTGGGTTCTTGGCTCTAGTATATAAACACTGGTAGCTTGAAAAGTCAAGCACACCGTTAAACTTGATTAAGGATATCCGGAAGATAAGAGTAATTGAGAATACTCTGAACTAAAGCAACTCAGTTCTCGGTGTTTTATGTTGAGGGAATTCAGGACAAAGATAAATATTCTAACACCAGCAAACATCAGAGTGTGCCCCACCATTAGTTCATGATAGGAAGTGGGTTGGTTAGGTAGCAAGAGGGTTGAGAACAAGGAGGTGATTGAACTGAGTAGGGGCTTCCCCATGGAGATGCTGTGATTGTCACCCTCCTATGTGGAAGGATCGCAGGCTGCTCCCAGGACATCACCTGGCACTGTGAGGGTCATAGCATCTCCTAAGAGGTCAGAGTCAGGCAGTCCTGGCTTCACTTGGCACCCAGGCTACTACACTAGGGACCAAGGCTACTATGGGTGGGGCAGGGCTAATGCTGTTTAACGCCCGTGTTCACCTCTGTCCATGAATGTGAGTGTAGGAGAGGTCTCTGTGCTAAGAAAGGGTGAAAACCTGAATTTTCTGAAATACTGGCCTTAGTCCTTGGCTTTTGTCGGGCTGTGTCTACAGAGCCCAAATGACCCTCCTTACTTGTTCTCTGTGCTGGAGAGCGAACCGGACCCCGTGCTGAGGTGGATCTAAAGCTTCTCCTAGGGCAGTGGTGGGCAAACTTTTTGACTCGAGGGCTACAATGGGTTCTTAAACTGGACCGGAGGGCCGGAACAAAAGCATGGATGGAGTGTTTGTGTGAACTAATATAAATTCAAAGTAAACATCATTACATAAAAGGGGACGGTCTTTTTTTTTTTTTAGTTTTATTCATTTCAAATGGGCCGGATCCGGCCCACGGGCCGTAGTTTGCCCACGGCTGTTAGGGCCCGGGGTCTCAACAGTCCTGGCCTTCAACACCACAGGACACATCTTTTCTCCCTATTGAGTCAGTTATGCCATTTCCCTCCACTCTTGTCTAAGAAACAGGTTACCTTCTGAGCTGGGATGGGAAGAGGTCACTTTTTAGAGGGATGTTGGACCACCATGACCTTCCATGGGTCCCAAAGGCCATACTGTGCTGTGGGGTCCACTCCCAGGCCTAGTCTTTGGGCCAGAGGTGGGCTTCTGAGACAGGCAGATTCACTTCCACAGGAATTTTGACCTGATATGAAGCAAGAGTTTCTGAGCTCTGTGTGACACATGACTCTGTGCTTGGGCAGCTGAGAGCCTGAAGCAGAAGAAGGTGGTGGGAGAAGGAGGAAGAGAGGTGAGGATGCCCAGAGGCAGAAGCAGGGAGACCGCACAGGCCTGCTTGTGCACCGCAGTCCTTGAGCCACCTCAGAGCTCTTCATTCTTAGAAAAAATGCCTCCCTGGGCTTAAACCATATCCACTGCTTTTTCCTTTGTATTTGCAACGAAATACCTTTCTAAGCTCCCTGGCGGATGGTGTCCAGGTGTGACTCCTGAATTGAAGACTATTTGCTCCCTGTTGCATAACTGACATATTTCAGAAGCTGCCAGGACTTAGGGCTTTGTTTTTCAGTAACAGGAAAAAGGTCTCAGCAGAGAGACTGAGCTGTGTGCTTTTGGGAAGTGTGGTTTTTCTTTCTTTCTTTCTTTCTTTCTTTCTTTCTTTCTTTCTTTCTTTCTTTCTTTCTTTTTACCTATCAATAATCACTTTATTCAATTTTTTTTTCATTTTTAAATTATAGGTGACATACTGTGTTCTATTAACTTCAGGTGTACATCCCAGTGGATAGTCATTACATAACTTACTAAGTGATCATCTCGATCAATCTTGTCCCCATCTGACACCAAGGTTATTACGTGTGACTTTTTACTAAGTGATCATCTCGATCAATCTTGTCCCCATCTGACACCAAGGTTATTACGTGTGACTTTTTGCTTTCAGATCTGCTGTCCTACATCTGAGGTGTGGCTGTGAGTGGTGGGAAGAGGGGTGTGGCCTCTGGTCCTGGGAACAAAGGAGGGCTGGTTTCCTGTCTTGTTGCCTCTCCTATGAGCCTGTGCTTCATCCAGGTGTCCTTCCAATTTCTTAAGCACAAGTGTCATTAAAGTCAACTGGTATACAGAGGCCTTTGGCTTAAAAGTTGACAGGCCAGAAGTATAAGGTTTGGGATCAGATGTCCTTTCACTAGACCAAGTTGTAGCACTGACACACCTGGGGCCTTGAGCAAGTCTCCCCCCATCTCTGTGGGAGGAGGAGGAGGAACTGCCAGCTGTCTCTGAGGCGGCCTGGGGGAAGAACCTCCTGGACGGAGGCCAGGGCAATGCTGGGGGTGAACCTGAGTGTGGCTGGACCCTCTGTGCCTGAGATCTCAGCTGGAATGGGATTGTGCAGGTGGGACTCCCTCCCATGAGCCGACAGGCAGACACAATGACAGGGCAGAATGAGGTCCTGGTGTGCAGGGATGGGGAGGAGGCTACTCAACTGGGCCACACAGTCCTGCCATGGACAGATGACCTGCCCGTTCAGCCCATGGTGCTGTGCACCTTCCTGGGCTCAGGCCTTGAATCAAGGAGCAGCCACTGGAACCGCCCAGCCTTGGGGCTCCAGCTAGCATTGGCCAAGGGGTCCGGGGTTCCGGAAGGTCCTGAGCAGGCATGTAATGTGGGTGCCAGGGATCTGAGCCCTGGACGGAATGAGCTCATCCCTGGATTGAGGGTGAGGAGGGAAGAGAACGGAGAGCTAAGGCTTGAGCAGGTCACCATTAAGTGGTCAAGAAGACGAGGAGGGGCTAGCAAAAGAGGAAGATAAGGAATTGCCTTAAGGGGACACCAAAGCAAGAGGAGGGAGTGACAGAGGAGGGAGTGACAGAGGAGGGAGTGACTAGCTGGGTTGACAGTTTGAGGAGGCAGAAGGCTGAGTATAAGCCTTTGAATTTTGGCACCCAATTTTATCCCTTGCAACTGGGAAAGCAGGCTGGCCCCTTCTTCCTATAACAGAGCAGACAGTATGTGAAGCCAGTTTCACATTTTATTCTGAGAGAGGAGTTCCATGGGAGGCCTTGGCGGGCCTCATCCCAGGGCTCTGTGCAGAAGCCTGGCCACCGAGCCCTCAGCTCATCCTTGTCATGTGGGCAACACAGGGGTCTGGGCCAGGTTCCTGGACAACGGCTGCCCCACCCACCCTGAGGGCTTAGAACTCGCAGATCACAAGGAGCTTCTCTCCACAGGGCACATCGTTCCACTTGCCGTTGGTCTTTATCTCCACACAGTCCTCCCTGCCTTTACTGTTGTTGGGCTCCCCAGGGCCCCACTTGGAATAGACCAGGGGCTTCCTGTCTGGGTAGGTGAACCAGCCCTCCTTCCAAAAGTCAGTCATGCTCAGGTACCCAGGACCCTTGTTCTCAATCTCGACCAGCTGTTGCAAGGCGTGGTTCTCAGCTTCAGAGCGTGGGGAGGGCAGCTGCCCCCCGGCCTGTGCGCACACTTGCTCTGCCTCCTGGAAAGGTTTTACAAAGCCTGCTGTCTTGAAGATCTTCTGGCCAACACCTCGGCCGTTGGGGAAGAGCTCCACTAGGAGGAGAGGACAGTCAGGTTGGGGTTCTGGGGCACCTTCCAACACTGGATGGTTCTAAGAGCTGTGTGTTCCAACCAGAGCCCCGAGCCTCCCATATAGGGCATCAGAGCACCAGGGAGGACAAAGGAGAGACCCCGGGTCCGCGGTGCACTCTGGGAGGTGGATCTGCCGGTCTAGTTACAGGTAAGAACACTGGGCTCAGAGAGGTTAATTATGAGGCTCAACATCATGTGACTATCACATGTAGAGTTGGGGGGTTACCCTTATCTGATCTCACACTAGAGCTGAGACGTGCTCTTTCTATTGCATCCCATGTTGCATGGCTTAATCGGTTTCCCAGTTACTGGGTAGGACTGGGAAGCTTTGGCATCGTGCAGCGAAATGGCATTATCCAGCCTCTGAGAGCTGGAAACAAGGAAGAAGCTCACTGATCTCACTGTGAACCCTACATAACAGGAGGGCATGTGGCATTGACAGGGAGGTCCGTGCCGGGTGTGGATGTGGGAAAGAAGAGGAGAGGCTGGGCCATCTGAGGGCAGCGCTGTGCTAATCTCTGCACTGTGTGCACCCAGTGCTGGCCTCTAGGTGTGCATGTGGATGAGGCTGGAGAGCTGGGAGAGAGGACAAGGACAGCTGAGATGTGTGCATGGGCGTCAGGGGCAGGAGAGAGTCAGTGCTGGAGAGAGGTCTGTCTGGGAGTCAGAGGGCCAGGTATTCAGCCCCACCTTGTTCATGACTGTCCAGGTGGACAAGGGAGAGTCACTTCGTTTTTCGGTGTTTCCAGTTCCTCATCTCTAAGATGGGAATACAATTTATAAAAGCATCACCTGTGTGACATTCAACTATATGTTTTCATTCTATCTCATTTTCCATCCTTTATGTGTGTGTGTGTGTGGTGTGTGTGTTGTGTGTGTGTGTGTGTGT